CATTAACACACTGCATCCCAACATCCGTCAGCACAAATAACACAACCGAGTACAGCATCTGGAATTTTATTCATCATGGTCGCAGTTTAATTCGTGTAAACACCCTATGGGACAAGAAAAGCATTTGCTTATAAGAAATGCCATAATAAAACTTTGACTTTGGATAGCGTAGCCTTAAAAGCGATGCTAATTCCGTGGCTCCCCTATTATTATTATTATGATTTGTGCCCGTTACATCGAAATGCCTTCTTTAGGGATCACTATGATTTTTATTCCCTGATATTTGTTCTTTTCGCCGTGAACCTGCTGTTCGTCCTTGTCAGGAACACTCATGTGACTCCAGCTTTCTTGCGTTGTCTTCTGTAATTATCTTGTTCACCTAAACTGTGGAGTAACAGTCCCATCTAAATGTCCCCGTTTATCCAGTGGATAAAGCCCACCGAAAAACCGTGTGAATCAGCGTGACAATCGAACGTCTCGTCACAAAGATATGATTTATGCACCCCGAAAGGTGACTGGCAAAGCTCATGTGCACTGGAATATTGGGGATTAGTTGCCAAGCTTGATCAGTCAAGGATGACGGGTCAGAGGTCAAGGACGATGTATCGTGCACGTGCTTGCTTGCATATGTGTGAATCAAGGACGTGTATGAACCTGTCCGGGTAGGAGATGTTTGTGTGTGTACCCTCATGGGAACCAGATTCAGTTGTGCCAGTGTCGCACTGACCAAGCAGATCCTGACGTGGAATGCATTAAACAATTACGACAAATCCGGGTAATGTAGACACAGATGCGAACGAAAATGTCTGAAAGGTCGGCCTATAATTGGATGTTGGGTGCACGGTTGATTGGAGTTAACAGCTAGGGACTGGTGCGTTTTGTAGCCGAACGTCGACGATGGCGTTGAACAGGTAGTTGAACTTTTCAGTGTTTGTTAACGCACAAGGCCCCGGATCATTCACACATTTCACTCTTATCAACGGTTGCCAGACTGCTGACTGCTTGTCACCGTAGCTAAGCCTTTCATCTGGTGCCGGTAAACAATCGAAATGGGCTAATCCAAGCTTGATACTTTAAAATTAATCTAACGATTTAAGGGACCGGTAAATACCTAACTCAGTGTTTATTTAAACTGTGCCAATTTTTGTCTCCAATTTGTCTACGTCTATTTGGTTGCATTCAGCTCAAACTGATTATATACTCCTGACTTAATTTCATAATTATTTCATAATGTGAGGATTTTTCAACAAATCTATGGCAGAAAAGACTCATCCATTGAAAAAAATACCGCCGATGTATTGTGTAGTTCCCTGAGGACTACGTGCTAGGTGAATAAATGTACCGTCCCCATTACAGGTATGTTTTTATAGCCGGTAGTATTATCATTTGTTTCAAGGATCTGGTTCACGTCCTCACCCAAATTGAAGACCTCGCGGTTTCCTACCAATTGCTTCATCATGTATCATGTTCTTCACCATGTTGCTAATAATTCTTTCTGCCCCTTCTTCAATCAAACGAGATTCCCAGCACCACTGAAAAATCCACTCAGTTAATTCCGGATTTTCAACCGCTATAAAATACCTGTCTGTTTCCTTTGTTTTTTTTTGTCGTGATCCGAATCGATCTTTTTTACTATCCCCCCCTCGAAATAATTTGCCTTGTTCTTGCCTCTTTGTATTTCGCATGCAAACTCTTCAGTGTGCCGTTTGCTTCGTGAAGCACACCGATTTGAGGTTGAGTGAAATTAACCAATCGGACTGTGAGATATAAAAGTCACAGTCACGGGTTGTCAATTTGAAGGTGTTTGGGACACTACCTATCTCATGCTATGGTAATCATGCATTAGTTCGCCTTGATGGTACATGTATTGATCGAACTCTTGACACGTGACTCCCATTTTGGAAATGCATTTACTTGTCAATTTCATACATGGACGTCGATAGAAATGAGTGAACAGCATTTATTTCGAACTTCATCTCCCACTGGAGTGTACTTAGCTCTCTTGTATCACCGTTTGAATTTGCGCGGCCTTGATTGTCGCGATAAAATTTGTTGTAGTTCGTAAGTTACAGTTCAGAATTAAATGATGTTCTATGCAAATGTGATGAAAGTCGGGGTGCTGCACGAGTTTGATCCATTCTTGTATACAAACACAATTCACGCGCACAACGTTGAATTCACGCATCATTTTGATCCCAAACCTGCCTTTTATCAGCTTTCCCAATCAGTTTCTAGGGTCAGCAAATGAATTTAATGCACGGGTATATGAGTTGCTCAAACTGGTTCATATCGCCCGATATTAGTGCTCGGAGCAGCTCAACCGAGCTTTTTGAATGTAGAATTTATCAGCGTACTTCAATTCGTTTCATTGCTATTTCAGTTGGTGGTATCTACTGCTGCTTCATCTTGGACATTGTTCTGTTTTTTCTTTTACACACTTTGTGTTTTCTCACGAAACTTTCCTTTTTCAAATTCACCTTTTTGCTGTCCTTTTTATTGGTTTGTGTTGATCAGCTTGAACGATAGTTGGATATGTGTATCAGTTCCACACAGAAACGGTTACTCCCTTTCTGTGTTGTACACTGCTCTGCATCCTTACTCTATTCCGGTTTCTGGTCGTGTACCTAAAGCGATATCACATCAAACTGGTCAGCCTGTATGCATATCCTTCATGCTTACAAATCGTCTGCTCTTTGTTATGCGCCCGTAAATGCATTTCGTTTTCAATTTGCAGCAAGTTAATCTCAACCCGAATCCACCTTATCCGATGGAACCACCAATGCCCACTTATCCCATGCCGCCGGTTATACCCGATCCGGCTCCGACTCTAGTCAGTCCACAACCCATTCCACCTCCACCTGCTTCTCTACCGACACCTGTCATCGGATCCGCTTGGACTCCAGGTGTGCCATCAGGACCAGGACCGAGGCTGCCTGGAGACACACCACCTCCCCCGTACCCGGGTATCGAACCCAATTCCCCGTATGCCGTCACACCATCTGCACCGTAAGTAGACTGATTGTTTTCTAGTTGCTTATGATATCACTTTGTAAAAGAAAATCCAAAATTACAATGCTGTACTATGCATATCGAAGAAACCTGAGGTTCTTCTGGACGGGATTTTTATTGCCGAAAACCTACGGATCCAATGCGAAAAGACGAAATATGAACCCGATGTTGGCTTAATGAATAAAGTTAGTAGTATCCGTTGATGAAAACTAACTCTTTATCGTAAGGTGAAAATCGGATAGATAAACCCTTGTCAGCTCATGTGGGTCCATAACGAACTCGGAAGGTTTACCACATCAGGAATTCGAAAACCAACAATACGCCGACCCCGCTTGACATTAACATGCAAAAATCCCCAGATAATTCAATATTCTCTATGAGTTATAGAGCGAAGCATCCTCGAGTGTATAAACTTTATTACCGACTGCTGGATATCCGCATCATAAACTTGTGCCACAGCACTTATCAGAACAAATGGGGTCAGGCGTGTGTGTTTTCGATGAGTTCATTGTCAGGCCATTACAATCAGATTTATGTGAGACGTAACAAGCGTCAATTGGCCTATCCATGATGAGATCATTTGGGGCATTTCGCCAAACGGGACAAGGGACAGGATGTTGGTCAGAATCAAATTACGTACATGCATATTAGCATGACTGTTAGCATTTACTTGAGACGCTGCCATCGCACTCATGCTTCGCGGTGGTTAACTTTTTGGCAAAAGACGTTGGACAGTCTGCGCCAGTTTCGGTGACGCGTGCATCTTACGTCTTAACAGGCGAATGCTAATTACCTCGGCCGTTGCCACCTTACGAAGCCCACTTGCTCTGATCGAATGAGACGGTATTTGAATGCCGAATGATCATCGATTGAGTGTACAGTCTTAACCCAGTAAGCAACAGTAGATCTTTTAACGATCCCAATCTCTGCGTCATGTCTGTGCTCTGATGCTCTTTTACAGTTACCTTGCTTTTCGACCTACGTCACTGATACCTGAGGTTTACTTAATCGGTAAATCAGTATGGATGAGGTCAGCAAGGGCAACTTATCCCTGTACCGTTATCGGATGGCGGTTGACATCAATAACATGAGTAAGAATTTGGCGATATCAAAGATTGTTTTCATCACCACATGGGAAAACCCTGGTGATTTTCTCATAGGACTCCTGACGATCGTACTGATTTTACTCGTATAGTTCGGCTTCTTTCAGCGAATCTCTCGAAATTTCCGTGTTCTAAGCTTTTATCTTAGTATTGATGACTCCGTCTTTTGAGCATTTTCGTACGTGATTATTTTCTTCTGCCTTTACCGTAAAGTCTATTACTATGCTTCTCCTTGTTCGAATTTTGTAGCAACACGATTGAGGTGGATTTTTTCGTTCATTACACGTGAGCTATAATCACTAATTTCTCATCAGCATCGTACATCAAAATACGGTGGAGCGAACTTCTTTGGCCGTTGCCAAACTCAATGCGTACAAAGGTGAAAATGTGTTACGTGAATCGTCACCATTTGAGGAGAAAGGAAATACAAGTGAATCTCGATGATCAACACACAGGATACATATTTCAATCAATATTATCTGATAAGAGGTGGCAACAAGAACGTCACTACTGTCGGTTTGATGCCATGACCTTCACTGTCTCCAACCATCCAGTTACTGAGTCTTTTGGAACCTAAACTGAAAGACGCACGACACCTACTCTATTAACCGTTCAGTGCATTTCTTGAAACCTGTTTGTTCTCCACATAATTTCTCACGCCAGAAGTCGTGGTGTGGCGATCGTTGAACATGCACAAAACGTGTCCTAACCAACCAAACCTACTTGTCGGAATTCGATGCTTTAGAACTTTCTCCCTCGATACATTTCAGACACGCGACCACTGATATTTGGGCTACCAACCCACTCACTCCACCTTATTTGGACCAGACTACCAAAGCATCGGTTTTAAAAAACCTATCGGCGATGTCTGTCTTCTACCCACTAAGTCTCACACCGGTAAAGCAGAACTCATTCAACAGTGACGCAGTGCGTGCGACTTTTCAACTTGAATGAAACGAGACGACATCGCCAAATGTGCTTCACTCCTGCCGACACTGCTGAGCCTTGTAAATGCTTGCAATTATGTCCTTTACTGCTCAAAAGTCTTTGGTCACGCAACTACTCAAGCATAAGTAACAGCCTATTCCTGATGATCTAATTTCAAAGCAAGATTAGCCGTCACCTTTTATTGGAACATCACTTTGCACCTTGAAGGCGCAAAGCGCATACCGAATGGAGCAGCAGAACTTGCTAGCCTGTCGAGGGGGCTTTGTGCATCTTCCATAGATTCGAAGAGGCCAACCGTGTCGCCAGCGTACTCCAAATAGCATAGCTTTCCTCCAGCTGCCCAACATTTGCAGACAACTTACCCCTTTCTCTAGTATTTCGTATATGATGAAATTGAACAGGAATGGCTACTTAGGGCACTCTTGATGAACACCGCTTCTAGTTACGATCAATCTACTCAGCTCGCCACAGACCCTTAGGCTACCAGAAGTATGCTAGTAGACTAACCTCAGTATTTTCACATGCTTCAGCGTTAAACTCATATGCGTTTCGCGGTCAACTGAATCGAAAGCTCCTTTAAGGTCAAGGACCACGACTACCTTTGGTTGACCGTGTGCAAGGCGCAACTTGAAGACTGCACAGAGTGAAGGTTTGTTTGATACAACCGCGACCTGGTCAGAATGCTGCTTGTTGTTCACGAGTGTTTGTCTGCTTGAAGGGCGTCAGACGTCGAAGGATAACAGAGGCTGACACTTTGGTGACAATTGGGATCAAACTTATTCTACGTGGTTTGCGCAGTCGATGCTAGATCCCTTCCTGAAAATTGGAACGTTCAGTGAATCGTTCCAAGATGATGGAATGTGCCCTCGGGACCAGATGTTACCCAATAATTCAGTAGAGAGATCTATATGGTCATCGTCTTTTAAAGAGTGAGAGGAAGCCAATCAGAGCCACCGGCAACTGTCTCTGCCGAGTGCATTGCTCGTCTAATCTGATTCCATTCATCTACACTACCATGCTACAACGCGCCTGGTTCATTCCCTAGTTCTGATTCATAGTGGGCACCAACGGAGATAAGTGATGACCTGCTAACCGAGTCTGCTGGTTTTTACAGCGTCCAGTGAATCCGAGAGTGAATAGCATCAAAACTAATGTATGGTCAGACTCAATGCGGGTGGGCGGTTTTCGTTATTGAATCATNCAACTACTATGTGGTCTATTGTGTCTCACCCAAATGAGATTATAATGGTGTGCAAATGAGGTTATTGGAAAAATATGTTCCCCTATGCTCTATATTTCCGGACTTGACTGTGACTGCCACATACAGCAGAGACGAAAGAATCGTGCGACCAGCTTGTGTGTGTAGCTGATTAATCGGATCAGCTCTCACTCAGTCTGAGTACGTAAGCTATGATTACACGGATAGATTTTCTTCGGGGAGAGAGAGAGATGTATCGTCGAAGAATCGGATTAAACCGTACACGTTGGCAAACGCACTGGTCAATAGAGCGTTCTGTGCACCGGCAATTTTTTTTCTGCGGTCCAACGAACGATCAATGATATAGTTACCGTTGCCTCATTAATTGCATTTCAATCAACTGCATAGCTGGTCGTTCAAATGAGTGCTTTACTTTACCACGACTAGGTCATCTTCTCAGTAATCATGAATAATAGCTTTCCATACAGAGTAATTTTTTTACTCATCGCGAAAGGAATTACAGTATAAGAGCTGAACCCCATAGTCAGAGACATTTTGTAATAGGATGTGTGGTTGACCATTCACATAGGAGCCAGGTTAGTGATCCTGTGTTTACTTAGTGAGATTTTAAATATACGAGATGACAGAGTGGAAACGCGTGCCGTAGGTTGCTGGTTAGGAGGAGGGAAAGGAAAATTAACTTGGGGCAGTACGACACCCAATAACAGAAATTTGATAAGGATATTTGGGTGCATGTGTACTGACTGCGTGGGCAAAAGTTTGAAGGCGGGGAACTACCGAGGCAAGGAACGAAACTACGAAATAGTAACAGAAGAAAAGGGTCATCGAACCATCTGGTCGGCAGTGAACTAGTGGCTACGGATTGGAATCAGGGGAGGGGTCGTCGGATATCCGAGTGACGCTTCGTGGTGCACGATCAAGCTAGGTAGGAACAGGTGAAGGAATCCCACCCCACACGTAACTGTAGTATTCAAGCGCAGGCCGAAGAAGGTGATCTAAATTGAAGAAGATGCGAGGTGGGATACCACCTTTATGCGTCGTCAGAACCAAACTGAGATGTAAAACGGGATCAGCGTAGCGATGATAATCTGAAGAAAGGAACAGTCTCCAGAGAGTGATTGAGTTCAGTTATTCTCATGGAATGAAATCCGTTGGTTGTTCAACCTCTCACGAGATTTTCAATACACACTGATTTTTTCCTTCATCATCCTCATGGGGGATCGGGATTTGGCATCACGTTCCTCCGATTAAACTGACCTGAATTCGTTGCACATGGTACTGTAACTCTTAGCAACGGGGTATTGCGGACCGATATTTTCATCACTTGGAATGCTGTACGTCTTTCATTGTAAATGAGCTTTCGACTTCAACCAAGTTATCCACTAAGCTATACCTTTTTCAGTGTAATTGTGGGTGGTACTTGGATTTGTACGGCGAGCATTTGAAGCAAGAGGCTTGTCCAACTGGCGTTTGAGCCATCAACCCCCAGGCGATACAACGCATTCTCACATACAAATTCGCTACGCCCCGCACCTAGGCAAAGTTGCTTCGCTTCTGAAAGTGCGCTGAATATCAGCTTTCCTCGTGTTCCATCAGATATACAAGCCGCTTGCTTGAAAATGTCGTCTTTGTACGCACGACACCGTCCATATAGTCATAATACTTCTTAAATTGACACCGGGAAATCTAAAATTGAAGAATTATAATCTCAGATCTAGGGTCTTCACTAGG